TTCAGCGGAGAGAAGACTAAGACTTTACCGTCCTCATCATGACTACCCCAGTTAGCACACGTGACTACGATGACTTTTTGGAAAAAAAATATAACCCTCGCCAACGTAACGGCACTGCCTTTTATTGCAGCTTTCGTGGTAACCCTTTTCCTCCGGGATCCAAATGCAAAGGCTTGCCAATGTACATCAGTCTGTTCGCGTGCCTGCAATTCATGTCGACAAGCTGAAAATGAAGAACTCGAAAACGAAGAAGTAAAAAGCAGATCGGAATTAACTTACTCTGTCTGAAAATGACTTATTTTTTGTGCCTACAAATACTTTTGACACTTTTCCCTCTGAAATACCTATTTAGTTGAGAGTTAACCTAAGCAAAGAATTTTTAGCTTTCAAAGCCTACTTGTATTATTTACACTGACTGTCTTTTTCACACGGAAGACGTTTTTTTTCATATAAAAATTTTCCGACAATGCCGACTTTTTGAGGTTTTCCACTTGCTACCTGAATGCTTTTCATCACATCAACTGCCAAGTTAGCACTGTGGTTTTTTTCGGTATAAAGTAGATGGGTGCTCCCTGGGTTTCATAAAGCCGATAATACTCATGAAAATAAACGATACGCCTATCTTGAAGTATAATTTAATTTAGTCCAAACATGACATTTAGTCTGTAGGTTAAGGCTGAAAATGAATCCCCGACTTCTAGCGGAGCATTGTAGTACGAAAGTTGACTCCTATTGTCACCTGTATAAAATTAGTCCAAATAATGCAAAAATGTTATGTCAGAAGATGTCCGAAATAAAACTAACGCTTATTTTTGCTGAAGACAAATATTTTCGCGTCGAAAATGGAGAGTTTTGTCACGAACTCGATACACTTCAACCCTATGGACAAAAATGCCCGTACTTATTCTAAAAACTAAGGTTTTCAGGGCGATATAGCGAAGATAGCTAAAGTTTTCCAGTCTTGATATACCCATTTATCCATCTATCAGGGATGCGCATGACACAAATGTGTATTCTGCCTTTCGGCTGTGATCGAATTCAAGGGGGGAAATATCTCAGAGACAAGTTTATGCGAAACGGCTGTTCGAAGGGTTTCAAAAGCAGATGCCTGCATGTTCGCTCCCAGCTACCCGAACCAGAAACAATATCCATTGTAGGACATCCGCAGTCGTACATCATCGACCGAGCCTATTACTAGGTTTTGGAATTGCACAGCTGTCGGGTGTAATATAGTGCATCGCACGTCTATTATAGCCTTTATACTACATAACTAAGGCTAGAACCATGCATACACGCACATATACCAACATAAGCTGGTTGTGGAGCGGGATGACAGATTATTTCGAGGAGCTGCCTGTCTGTTTAATAAGAACTTTACACCGGCCAGCAAACAGCCTTCTTCTATTTTTATCCCTTGAATTTTGACATTCATGTAAGCGTTAATGTTCCAGTATGTTTCATATTTGTGTAAAAAAGCAGCATGGCTTTGAAAAAGCGAATTTAAGAGCGTAAACAGGCAGTTGACTCGGGGTCGAACGAAGTCTTCCGACTGATTTATAAGTTACTACCAGACTGCCTCACTTTTCTGGATGAACATATATTAGGACCAGCAGAAACAACCGCTATCATGGGGGAAAAAGCCAATATTGTGCGAACCGAAGGACCCCCGGCAAGTTTCGTCCATAACACAGCCAGCAGCAGCTGTCACGTAAACCAGGATCGTGGAAACGGAGGCAATTATATTCTAGTAGAAAGTTGGATGTAATGTATCGTATCGCATGCCTAAACCTACCTTCTGACTGCATAGGTTATACTATACGCATGTTCGGAGACGGAGGTTAGGCAGTATCATAAAGGACTGCCTACGTAAACCGAACGGGTCATGAGTGCACCTTCGCAGCCACGAAGATAAACGCCACCGCCTAAAACAAAAGCAGTCGCGAATGTATAGAAGTCTGAGCCGCTCACAGGAACTAAACCAATCCGTATATGAGCTTCGCCGGCATAGATAACCCTGCGCACTCACCCCTAGACTGCTGCTTGCTCAGCCCCTGCCCCCTATAACTGTTGCTAGCTGTTGCGCCACTTTCATCTTTGAAGATGTCATCTAGTAAGAGTTCGAAAGCTCAGATCAATAAAAGTATTACGGCAAGCAAACAAGTTTTTTATGATTCTGTTTCGACATCTGGCATGCGCATGTTCCTCTCAAGTGTCCTATTCACATTTGTTTGAGGAAGGAAGACATGTTTGAGAAAAAGTGAAGCTAAGAACATGAATGACCCTATTTTCTCTCTCACACACACTGTCGATTCCGTACTTCTCCTGTAAAACGGTTCTGTCTAACCCTCATTTCCGTTTAACAAGTCATCTGATAGCACCTGCGCTTCCCCAGCCCCCTATTTTCACTACTCAGTCGGATGCAAATACGGACATTATTGGTTGCATGTTTTAACTTTTACACCATTGTCATATGAATAAACAAAGCCAATGAAAATTTATCGAAATCACGGGTATTCTCGCCAACTGGTTATCAGCATTAAGGTGACCATGTGTCACGGACAGCAGCCGTACTTTTCTTTGTACACAGCGCAAACAAATGCTGGGTTAAGTGTACAAAATACGCTGCTGGCAAGTTTCTATGATTTAATGAGTATCTGGGGGCCATTCAAATTTCAGCATGTCCTGCAGTTGACCTTGTGACTCAAAATTTGCAGGAACAAAAATAAGGGGAGAACATCTGCCAGCTGCGGAAATGTTGGTCTGAATGCTGTAATAAAGACTAACAGATCAGCAACCATTATTAAGAATTTTTATGCATACAAAATACAATTAAAGCGACTAATAGAATGGAAAACAAAAGAGGTAGTATTCAACACTTGTTTAACGAATGTTGCCAATTGCGTGTGCATTTATGTACCCCGTGCTGATAATAAAGAAGAACATTTAGCTCGTGTGCCCGCATTGAGTGTCCGCAACTAGTATCTACATAGGCTTGCCTCAGCTTGAAGAAAATTCGACAAAGGGAAACAGCAGGCGTGCAAGCGGCTAGAATGCTGCCAGAATGCTAAATTCGCAGAATACATTTGAACTACTGTCTACTCGTACCCAGCATATGCATATTACGCAGTTTGCGGGCAGTGGCTGATGGAGTTTGGCCCAAATAGAAACATTGCATTTTGGTCAATGCCTATAGGCGTTGATTATCCTAGTCCCTACCTTGGAAAAAGAACCTTATTTGGAAGGAAATCTAAAAGCTGAACATTCAAAACTAGTATATCAATGATAATGCAGAAATAGAAAGCCGCAGGCTGACTGATGATCAGTGTCCAGCAGCGGCAGAGTACCAGCATAATACGTGTCTAGGTCATTTATATAGTACTTGGGCTGTTTTGGGTAAATTACAACATAAACGGTATTTCTAAAATAGTCGTTTGTTTATAACTGACAGTTTAGGGATTATAAGTCCGAAATGGTCAAATCAGTGTCCCTAGTCTTTGTCGAAATTAAGCATGGCTAATGACAGCTCTCACCTACATAGTACAGAGTCGTGGAAAACAGAGGCGGTTAAATTCCAGCAAACAGTCGGTTGTAGTGTATCGCATCGTATGCTTAAACCTACCTGCTAACTAT